GCCAAAACTGAAACGATGTCACTGTTGACCACGTAAATGTCACGCAGTAGTGAACTTTTGGGGACACTTTCGTCTCGCATGTGGTTTTCACCGCTTCATAAGCTTGACCACATTTGACATGATATTTCTCAACAAATAACGGAAAGAAAGAGACGAATGTCCTCTCTTGTTCCCCTATACTCCGGAAGAAACAACATGACTGTCCCGTGGCAACGACAGATAGAAACTCTCTCTCTCTCCCTCTCTCTCTCTCTTTCTATATATATATATATATATATATATATATTAACAAACATAGAAACTTTGCATTTGTTTCTTCTACAATATGTACTTGTTCAAATAAAAACAGTCCTCACGTTGTTTTGCATGCTGCTTCGATCCCCATTGTGGTTTAGAGAAGCGCGGAACAATGTTAACTATGTCTACAATAGTGTCGGTCGAAACGACGTTACTGTGTTGATGTCTATTCAACTTTTCTCATTTCAATTTCTTGCAACCTGTCATGTGTTGCCGTTCACTGTCGACCTCCTTGTACCATTGCACAAATCCCCAGCTGTGTTCCATATTATCGTTGTCTGCGGGTGCGACCATGATAAAAAATATGGCTACTGATGCAAACCATGTGCATTCGTTGCCTGCTCTAATTGCGACGTCACTGTGCACTGGTCTCCCATGGAACTGTGGCGACGCTCTTGCAGTTTGAACAAGTGTGTCCCTGTTTGTTCCGTACTGTACGCAGACGATGACCAGGTGTGTCCGTGTGTGTATAAGCAGGTCGTCAGAAGGAGGTTGACAACCATTTTCCACCGTGTATGCCGTAAGCGCAGCTCGAAAATCGCGTCTGCAAGGAAGCTCTTTGAGTATCCTACACGCATGGTTGTCAATGCCTTCTCCCTCGCGTATGTACTCGTCATCGATGTCAAACCACCGCAGTTGCAGCATTGTCGTATCGCGTAGTGCGAGGGTGTTCATTTCGGTGGCCATACAGTCTGTCACGGACAACCGGTTCTCAACCGTTCTCTTCCTTCGTTTCCTCATGATTCGGATCTCTTCGCGCAACGTCAATGACCGGCGTACATGGTTTACCATGTGGGTTGAAGCTTTCCGCTTGTTTGATGACATGTATGGCTGTTTGCAGAATTTCCTGTGGTGATGCTCCCAAACATTTGTCGTGAAGGTGTCGAGGACACCGGATCGCTCAATACACGTTGTCAGATGCATGAGATCGTGCAACTTGGGGAGTTTCCATGTTGATGGTAGATATTTTTCCAATTTTGCTTTAATGGTCGTTACGAAGTCCGTGATCAAAGTGTCACATTCATCGAGCGAAGCACGAATGTGTGTTGTACACCGAAACACTCGTATGTATATTTTCATCAGTTTCATAAAATAAACGGTAATGCCCTTGCCTGTCGAGCGCGGGATAGTATTATAAATAAAGAACACGCACACTGTCATCACAGACCGGTTTTGCTTCGCCTCGAACTGTCCCTCCCTCGAAAAAAAGTCGCTGCCAGTGGCCACCGGCAGCACAAGTTGGGGGTATGTTCGCGTGCATCTCTCACTAACGCTTTGCAACCTTGCATTTAGTTCCTTCAGGATCTATGTTTGCGGTAAATGCGGCAACTTCTCAAAGGTTGCGGTCCTGAATGCGTGAATCATGTGCAGGAATATGCCGTGCTCGATTGTGTGCATACAGTCTGGTTGCAATGTCAGGTGGTAGTATAGCTGAGGATCGTCACCATTGGGGCCCCTGTAGAACCCCCAAAGGCCGTTCTGTTGAACATGCCTATGCATGTTCAACTCCGACATTCGTGCTTCCGCTGCACGGCAAACGTCGATGTCGTCCGCGGTGAGCACATCTGCTGTGAGGTATGTTTCCAGCGTTTGTGATCTCCTGCAGTCTGTGAAATCGGCTATGACATCAAAATCGTTTTTGGACACGGTGCATGTCGGACATACACCAAATTTCACAGTTGCAATCGCACATCGTTCTGGGTAGTCCTGGATATAGTTGAGATGCCTCCTTCGCAGACTGCAACACCACTGAAAGGGCCTTGTGCAAAATGATGGTCTTTCGTTTTCTGAATGTGGTGGATTGCAGACCCCATCCTTTGTCACGTGGACAATGATGAAGCACAGGAAGATAGGCCAGCAGTGTGGCTTCAGATGCGTGGTCGGCTAGTGACATCATCGGAGGGTACGCCGTCTGTTTTTTACGACCATCTGTATGTGTCTTGTCGGAATACAATGAAAGAGGGATGATATAACGTGGATTACCATTCCCGTCCTCACCTTTGTCCGCTCGAATGATCGACTAGATGTGATAACTTAGCACCCCGCTGCGTGGGTCGGATATACTGAGGTGCTCTGACGGCGGAGACACTTGTAGAGAAGACACCATCCCGCATTTCTGTAATGCGATATGAAAAATCGACAGAAATGTCGTTCGCCAGTCGCGGTGCCACAAGATGGCGTGCGCATCCCGTGACCAATCGTCACAACGTAGATCCAACTTTTTCCATCCAGCAGCCTCTGCTAGACTCCCTGCCCATATCAAACACTCTCGACTATTACGATACGCGATGTCTCTCGTGTTGAATCTCGGGTCTGTGAGAAGTGACAAGAGAGCATCTATGTCGCTCTGCGACATACGGACGCCGCCCCTGGCGGAGAAAATCTGTGCCGCTAGCTTGCGAGAGTTGTCAAAAGACTCGACAGGCTGCGGTTGCTGCTCTTCGAATATCCCACCCTCCCCGTCTACATTCTCGGGGGCCCCGACGTCCTCGCTCTCATCGCTCACGAGATTCACTACAACGAATTATGACATATATCATAACAATCATCAAATGATGGAAATATTGTTCAATCCTGTGTCTGCACGCTGTAGTGAACCGCATGTACTTGGAGAGGCAAACAACAAGTAACATTAAATGTAACCCGCAGATGGATGTACATGTTTTAATATAGCTACAACTCGACATATGAGAGAGAGAGAGAGAGAGAGAGAGAGAGAGAGAGAGAGGTTCACTAGTACGGGCCAGAACGACAACAAACAGCACCGGTGGACACTGATATGGCACGCAGTAGTGAACCCGACCGTCGTTGAAATTGAGGCAGACATAGAGGGATGTATAGGTTGAGGGATGTACAGGTTGAGTTTCCCATGCGTATCAAAACGTACGTGCACTGGTTGTTTGTAATACCACTCTATTGCTCTATGCTATGCATGTCTGTCATCATCCCTGATGTCTAACATGGTCTGTCGTGGTGTGTGGGTGTGTCTCCGGTCGCTGCCGTGGCCGAGCACTAACTATTGCGTCTCCTGTTGACAAGCCGGGGTGCAATGTCTCTCCCCAAGCTGTCGTCATTGCGCGGTGTATGAGGCAACTCAGGTTGACTCCCCATGTCAGTGACGTTGCTAGCACAGCCTCTCTTTTGACCAGAACAAACCATCCCTTGCCAACACGTGTCCACTTTTTTCCCTTGTTGCATGATTTCATTATGTTGGTCACTGCGGCATACCATAGTGCACCATCTGGTGTTGCCCCCTTCATCACGACACGCAACACTTTGTGCGGATCGGAAAAAGCACGTGCCAACCTCAGAATTGCGTGTGCCCATCCTTTTGTCACTTGTCCACACGCTCCCTTCAAATCATAATATACATCATGTTCCTCGTCTTCCTCGTCGCTGCTGACATCGCTGCCGCTCACTTCCACGTCAGAAGATGATGCCCCTTCATCCTCTTCTTCATCTTCTTCTTCTGCACTGTCTGTGTACTCTGCACAACAACTTGGCAAATCGGGAGGCACATCGACTGCCATACTGGTTATTGATTCTTGTGCTGCTGATGTCTGTCCGTTGTCTGGAATAATTGCAACATTTGTTTCCGTGGCCATCACCTTCCACCCTTCTTCTCTTTCTCTTTGTCTCTCAACATCGCAACTTGCAAGACCGAGCCGCTCCAAAGCAGATGATAATAACTCCCCTCACAACGGTCTGTCAGATATGATATTGTCTTCTGTTCTTGCTGGCACAAATTATATCAGATCTTGACCCTGCAGTGCAAACTCTATGACTTCGTGCAACGCCTCATGGATGACGTTCCTGTCGTCGGCACTCTTTTTCATGAAGTCCAGAAGTTGATCCAGCAGAATATATTCCACACCATCTGCAACAATGACAGGAACATCTTGAAAGTCTTTTGGCGGTGTTTGTGTAATGTTCTTCATTCTGGGCAACACCAAGATTTCTGCAGCACCATTCTTCAACTCGTCATTTGACCCATCAACCAGCATTCCCCTATTCCATGCCACAATGCCCAGCAACTTCTTGAAATTCGCAGGTGTATATGTCCTCCCTTTCTGCTGCATTGTCATATCCACGTCTCCTTCTTCGCACATCCCTTCGATGCACATCCACTTGACCACTCCTTTTAGACTGTATGCACTGTCTTCTTCATCGTTGTCCACACGTACATGTGATGACTCTCTGAAGCGTTGCAAGAGTATTCGTGCTTTGACACAACCCTCGTCGTTTGCTATGATCGTGGATCTCATATCCACAGCGACTATGAAGTACCTCGGCACCCTGTCCTGAAGCAAAGACAACTCGCTGTCATCGTTGTAGTGGACGTCCTCCTTTGCATACTTCATTACCTCTGCAAGAGTAGCCTCCACCTGTGCTACTGACATCGACATGATGCGTACGGTTTGTATTTCGTCCTCTTCTCTCTGCCAGTGGAAACGCACAATGACGTCATCGACATGTGTGTGTGTGTGTGGCGTCTATGTATGAACCTATGTGGATGTCTGTGTGTCTTTGTGTATATGTCTATGGATGTGTGTGTATGAATGGTTTGTACGTGTGTCGTCGTGTCTGTTCCCAAGTTGGCTATTGCGTGTCATTCGAAGTCGCAACGGTCATCATTCGATTGTTTCTGGCACGCACTAGCCAACTTTAAGGGTGCATGCCAGAATGTGTGTGTGTGTGTGTGTGTGTGTGTGTGTGTATGTGTGTGTGTGTGTGTGGCGTCTATGTATGAACCTATGTCGATGTCTGTGTGTCTTTGTGTATATGTCTATGGCTGTGTGTGTATGAATGGTTTGTGTGTGTGTCTGCGTGTCTGTTCCCAAGTTGGCTACTTCGTGCCATTTGAAGTCGCAACGGTAATCATTCGTCAGTTTTTGGCACGCAGTAGCCAACTTTAAGGGTGCATGCGAGAATGTGTGTGTGTGTGTGTGTGTGTGTGTGTGTGTGTCTTTCTGTATATGCTTGTGTGTGTGTGTGTGTGTATTTGTTATGCGTGTTTGCTTGTGCATGTGTTAGCATGTCCGACTTCAGGTTGGCTACTGCATGTCATTTGAAGTCACAACGGACCTGTGTGGTCTGTATATGGCACGCAGTAGCCAACTTGAACGGTGCACGCCAGAATGTGTGTATGTGTTGGTGTGTCTGTGTGTGTAATACTCTTCGCCCACAACAACCCTTGTTCGAACCAGACGAGTACATACGTAGGAGAGAAATATGTAAATGGCAAAAGGTATGACTAGCAAAGGGCAGGAGGGAGATGGGGGGCGCGGTACGTACGTCGTTACGGTAGGAAAGAAAGAACGAGAAAGAAAGAGAAAGAAAGAAAGGGAAAGAAAGAGAAAGAAAGAAAGAAAGAAAGAAAGAAAGAAGGAAAGAAAGAAAGAAAGGGAAAAAAAAAAGAAAAAAAAAAATGTTAGACAAAGAAAGAAAGAAAGAGACAGACAGACAGACAGACAGAGACACAGGCAGACAGACAGATAGACAGATAGACAAACAAACAGACGGACAGACAGACAGACGAACAGACTGACTGACTGACTGACTGACTGACTGACTGACTGACTGACCAGACAAGGCGACAGACAGACAAACTGACAAACAGACAGACGGACAGACAGACAGACAGACAGACAAATAGACGGACAGACAGACAAATGTCATTGAACTTACAGACTTTGATCCTGGTTCATCCACTTATAGACCTGACAGACAGACAGACAGACAGACAGACAGATAGACAAACAAACAAACAAACAAAGACACAGAAAGAAAGAAAGAAAGAGAGAGAGAAAGCAAGAAAGAGAGAAAGAAAGAAAGAAAGAAAGAAGGAAAGAAAGAAGGAAAGAAAAAAAGAAAAAAAGAAAGGAACATGTTAGACAAGGAAAGAAAGAAAGAAAGAAAGAGACAGACAAACAGACAGACATACAGACAGACAGACAAACAAACAAACAGACAAACAGACTAGGAGACAGATAGACAGACAGACAGACAGATAGACAAACAGATTAGGAGACAAACAGACAGACAGACAGACATACAGACAGACATACAGACGGACAGACACACACACACACACACACACAGACACACACACACAGACACACACACACACACAGACAGACAGACAGACGGACAGACAGACTTTGATTCTGATTCATTCACTTACAGACTAGACACAGAGACAGACAGACAGACAAACAGACGGAAAGACGGACAGACAGATACACACACACACACACACACACACACACACACACACACACACAGACGGATAGACAGACTTTGATGCTGGTTCATCCACTTACAGACCAGACATACAGACAGACAGATAGACAGAAAGATAGGAGACAGACAGACAAACCGACAGACACACACACACACACACACACACACACACACACACACACACACACACACACACACACACACANACACACACACACACACACACACACACACACACACACACACACACACACACACACACACACACAGACGAACAGACAGACTTTGATTCTGGTTCATCCACTTACAGACCAGATAGACAGACACACAGACAGACAGACAGACATACAAACAAACAGACAAACAAAGACACAGAAAGAAAGAAAAAAAGAAAGAAAGAAAGAAAGAAAGAAAGAAAGAAAGAGAAAGAAAGAAAGAAGGAAGGAAAGAAAGAAGGAAAAAAGAAAAGAAAAAAAGAAAAAAAAGAAAGAAACATGTTAGACAAAGAAAGAAAAAAAGAACGAAAGAAAAAGAAAGAAAGAGACAGACAGACAGACAGACAGACAGACAGATAGACAGACAGATTAAGAGACAGAGAGACAGACAGACAGACAGACAGACAGAAAGAAAGAAAGAGACAAAAAGACAGACAGACAGAAAGACAGAAAGAAAAAAACAGACAGAAAGAAAGACAGACAGACACACAGGCAGACAGGCAGACAGACAGACAGACAGGCAGACAAACAGACGGAGAGACAGACAGACAAACAGACTGACTGACTGACTGACTGACTGACCAGACAAGGCGACAGACAGACAAACTGAGAAACAGACAGACGGACAGACAGACAGACAGACAGACAGACATACAAACCAGAGCAGACCGATAGACAGATGGACAGACAAACAGACAGACACAACAGACGGAGCAGACAGACCACATAACTGCTTTGTGTTGTCCATGCATATCTTTGACCTATGCGGATTTCTTCCTGCGGTAGATATTCGTCAATGCAACATAGATGATGTTCAACCATTCAACATTATTATTGTTCTTTCTTGTTTGAATAAGAGGGGGAAGAGAGAAGCGCGTGCACATGTGGAAGAGGGAGAAAAGAGGTCTATGCTAACAAACCAAACATATAAATTGCAGGTCACTAGATGAAAGAATGTAGAGCCAGAGAAAGAAAACAGCAAACACACTTAGTGTACGCTCACATACGGATACTGTGATGGTTTGCGCACATGTCCACAACAACAGAACAGACAGACAATCGGACCTCCACCAAGCCCGTGGTAAGAAAAGCAACAACAAAACCTAATTCAACGACTGGTCTACTTGTACCCAACTTCCGTAGACGTACAACGCACCACGCACCTACAGACCTATACAACCGTCCAAACGGCAAACATCTACGAGCACATTTTGGTAAAGATCCAAAGTACATGCATTTACATGGAAACCTAGAGTAAGTGGACCGAAGGCTAGGACACACATTACATAGACCTCCGGGTACCTACGAGTCTTCAGAAGGGCGGAAATGAAAAAAACTACAAGGCTGAAAGGCCTGGGACTACGAAAGTAGAGACAACTGCCAACAGGTTCCGCCGTTGGAGCCCACCGAAAGGCCGATCATTCAGAAAGAAAGAGAGAAAGAAAAAAACTTGAAGAAAGGAAGAAGAAGAAAATGAAAATGAAAAACAAAAAAAAACAAAGTAAGAAAGAAAGAAAGGAGAACAAGAAAAAAACAAAAATATATGGGGTTCCCCACTGCGGGCCAAAATCAGCGACAGAGTCGTCCTTCAATACCTTCATGTCCCCCACTAGTGAACCTGATCTCTCTCTCTCTCTCTCTCTCTCTCTCTCTCTCTCTCTCTCTCTCTCTCTCTCTCAACCTAACACCACGAAGACTTCCACGGAGTCCACGATTCGACAAGACAACCGTTATTTTTTTCGCGGACCCCCCCTTACGTGGCACTGCTTTCCTCTTCTTCGCCCCTGCTCTGCTGCCATCCCTTTCCGCCTGTATGGCCTCCATCCGTTGTTGTCTCTCCTCAGCTCTCGCCTTCTCGTCCAACATACCTTGATATTTCTCAACCCAGCGAGGCTTCGACAACCTATCCACCAGTCTCATGTCCCTGACCTGGATCGTCACCCTCTTCGAATGGATGGCCACCTCGTTGGTGTTCTCGAAATTGGCGACCAGGGACGCCTCGGCAGCCTCTATCAAAGCACACACTGTCGTCATCTGAAACCTCACTCCCATACCCGGAGCAATGTCCTCCTCCACAACCTCGCGCACGAGCCGCAAGAACGGCCTGAAAGCCAAGCAAAGGTCGGTGGATCGTTGCAACTTTTTGATTTCCGACAAAGTTGTCATCCCGGGGCGTCGACGGCGTTTGGGGACCTGAGTTCGTGCACCTGCGGTGTCTCCGGTCGCTGGCACCGCCTTCGGGTTCACCTTCTTTCTGCCTGCGGGCGTCTGCCCACGTGGTGGTCCCGACGTGCACTTCTTTTTCTTCCCCGGGCTCTGCGACATCACGACATCGCTCGGGCCGCCCATGTCACCCTGTGCTACAGAGCACCCCCCGATGCGACCAGGACCACATGGGCCTCCACCTCAGCAAACAAACGGGAAATTTCTGAGCGTTTCTCTGTCCTCTTGCCTGGCTGCACTGAACCTGCCAAGTCATTCTCCGACAGATACCGAATGTCTCGCAGGAGTCCATCTGAGTAGGTCAGCTGGAAAGGCACACCAAGCGGGTCTCTGAATCTCATGGTGACGTCTCCACCATGCTCATATGTCATGGGACATACGACCGGGACCCAACCAAGAACAATCGTGCAACCGTGTCTGCGGCGAATGTGAGCCATGTATCTGTTCTGACCGTCGTCGTGCTCTTGGCCCGTACAACTCCCCTCAACCATGGACCACATCCCTTGGTCAGCCATGGAGTCATAACCCGCGCACACCATCTGACGCTCCTCCTCCCTTATCTCCTCCCAACAGTGCTTTGCATGTTCAACCACCAGCACGTGGTCCTTTACATTCACATTGAAAATTGAGACACGTGTCAGAACCACGAGGAACTGCCAATGCTCCACAATCCATCCCAATGGGAGCCAATGCCTTGATTGCAGTCTTGCTGCCATCGTCACCTTGCCATCAACCACTGCAGGATGCAAACATCCTGGGACCCAATTGACACGATAATCATACTTTTCAGGGGCCATATGCTGCTGCAACTGTCCTTCAGGGATGACACGGGCCCCAATGTCCATGGCGGACAGAACGTCAGTCCTCATTGTGACATGGTCCCATATCTGCGAGCATAGTCCATCATACGTGGCTTCCTGCCCTCTTGCATGCGTGTATGTGCTGTCATCCTCACCAGTGAAAATTTTCCCTTCAACCATCTCCAACTCCACAGGGTTCCGAAGCGGCGAGAAAAAACAGCCAGCAGTATGGGTAGGACATGTCATTGCCTTCTTCTCGTCTTCTGAGACCTCCCTGTCGAGGTGCCTGAAGGAGAAGTTGCCATTCACATAATACGTGTTCCAAACATTTTCCATGGCATCACGCATCATCATCCTCACACGGCCACATGGAATCGGGATCACACATGGCACCCAACCCCACCTAGGATCCCTCCTCGCATCGCTCTCGTGGCACGCCGTACTCCCTGTTGCGTCGTTCCCGCCAATCACTCATGCCTGTCCGCAATCAAAACTGTCGTACAAAAAATTGTTCAGCCTTAACTCGCCCTGTGCCTCCATAACACGCCACATGTCCAATGCATATCGCTCTTTCACCTGTGGTGTTGCCCCATCATTCAACCTTAATATTTTGTCAAACACGATTGACAGAGTCACGTTTCGCCATGTATTCATTTTGGGGGCAGGAAATAGAACCCATGTCCCTTCGACTTTGAACGCAAAGCAGGGTGCTCCTCTAACAATACCGGTTGAACACGACCCGACACCCAATTGACGTCGTATGGGTACTCTTCTCCTGCTGATGTCTTCACCACATTTTCATCTTTCACAATACACCCTGTCAGAGATTCCCTGCTTCCCAGACCTCCCTCCTCTCTGTCTTCCCCAACCGTTTTCGTCTCACAAGTGTTCCCTCCTGCATCATTCTCTGTTTCATCACCACCACCCATCATCTCTGCAGTCTGTGCACATATTGTCGCAAGCGCCTCTGCACAGTCTGCGTTGTTCCCTCCAGCCGAATTCCCTTCCTTGCTGCCATCTGCAAAACCCTTCAGAATGTCCTCTGTCTCCATGGCGCGTGTCTCTCCACCGTTGACAGTCGATGCAATCGCGGGTTCCATCTATTGCATGAGACACCACATACATTTATGAGAACACGTAGCTGCGACATGGCCCCCTCACCCGAGAGAGAGAGAGAGAGAGAGAGAGAGAGAGAGAGAGAGAGAGAGAGCAGCGACAGAGGTAGGTTCACTAGTGCGGGCCAGAAGGACAACAAACAGCACCGGTGGACACTGATATGGCACGCAGTCGTGAACCACTTGTGTGTCATGAGGCAAAAAGCAGCAAACATTATGGACATAAATTTACTCTAAGCAGAAAGTAATAATACAGGCAGCACTTAAACACACATCAGTGTGTGTGTGTGTG